TTTTACTTTATATTCAGAAGGTTCAGCGTGAAAAAGTAACAAACAAACACGCACATGTCAAATTTCGCGTTTATAATAATAATAATGTCATTTGCATTAAAGCTAATATTCAATCATTTAATAATAATCGACTGTTTTGCTGGCGATGACTACCTGCTGTAAGCGATAGTCGGGATATCGCTATAGCCACATCACATTATCTTATCGCCTCGTGCATCTATTTTGGGGTTTAATATGTTGTTTACTTGTTTTTTACGCTCGACGTTTAAAAACATGTCGAATACCTTTCACGGAGTGACTTGCAACGGATAATGTATACAAAACTTTATTTAAAATATAAAACAATATAAACTTACCTTTGCTTTGCTAGAGTTAAGCCCTGGGTGCCTAACAATGTCTAAATAGCTTATGTGCTATTCCAGGTCATAGTGTACCTGTGTACTAACTACTAAATTTCATACAAATCCGTCCAACCGTTCAGCGTGAACACGTAACAAGCAAACACGTATAAACCATCGCAATTATATAGTAGTACTAATTATATAGTAGTCCGATAAATAAATTTATTCATATTTCAACATTTAAAATTTGTATATTGATCTATGGCTCATTGATAAAGTACTTGGCTGCCGATCTAAATACCGCAGATTACTTTAATATTACTTAGGAACGAACCCGCGACCCCCTTCAGTGTACATGTATATTCAACAACTATGCCACAGTGATCGATCGAAGATATTATTAAAAGGATAATAATATAATTTAGCACGTACCAATACCTACGATACTCGTAGATTTCTACTGGAAACGTTTGACGTAATTTTGGTTCAAGGTTGCGTGTTATAACATTAATCGAAATAAGAAATCATTATCACCGACAATATTCAACACTACCAGATGTGAACTCCATTTTTGGGCAATTCAAAGAGAATTTTCGCCCATTATATTATAGAAACCTTTTGATATATTTTTATCGGGCATAATTATATTCATTTCGCGTTACATTGTAAATATAAAGGAAACGTCGTATTTGCTTAAAAAAATGTTATTTTCTTATATAATATGTTAAAAAAGTAGATACTTTAATTATTTAGCTAGAATCGTTTAAAGTTAATGACTAAACGAGAGAACTTCAACGACTAGTATTCCCTGAGGTAATTTGTAACATTATATTTCGAATAAAAACGTGCCCAAAAATACTCTAAAAAATAGCAAAAAGTAATCAATATGTCAAGATGATTTTATAAAAGCACATGCAATTCAGAGGCAGTGGTAGCCCGCTGGCATGGCACACCGAGCGAAGCGGGTTCAAATCCCGGGTCTCGCACCTCTGATATTGTCATGTGCGAATTATTTCTAACATGGTTACCACTTGATTAATTGAACTTTTGATTAATTGTTATCATTAAGCGTTAAAGAAACATGGACTTATTAATTTTATGTATATATAAAAAGACAAAGCAAAAAAACTTATTTGTCAACCAATCTTCGATTTGTTTAGTAGCTATTAAAGAGCTTCAATGCTATCAACAAAAGAATTTTAATTCAAATTTAATTTAAGTGACCGGGAGAACACTAATATACTCGTATATTATTAAATTTAACTCCCAGCAAATCACAAAAATCCGGTATCCTTGACTCAACCCTTAACTCTTCTGGACGACCACATCCGGGTAAACAACTTGCACATAAGTTAACACAACTCTCTTATAATAACTTATGAATGTTTGCATAAGAAACTTTTCCAATATAAACAACATCACATTAACAACTTTTTAATTATACAACTTCTCTATAAGCTTTAGAAGTAAGAGTACCTCATATTACAAACACACAAGAGACCTGCCTTCACTTCGCTTAAATCTCCGCAGCAATTTTCAAATTTAATGTCAAATTACAGAAAGGACACTGTCGTCGTATAACTATTCTAAAAGGTACAAAACGTCAAAATAACTATACGTTTATTTTGTTTCTGTCTGAAAATATTTCCACTGTATATGTATGTATGTTAATATATATATATATATATATATATATACAAGTATCAGAGCTGACGTATAATATATACGTGTGTATGTATATTTGTTCACACAACTAATTTACTTACAGAAATTTTCGCAGACGAAAACAATAACGAAAACAAGGTTCCATCGTAATCGGATGAATGGTATGAGAAGGTATGGAAAATAAACAAACAAAGCTATATTCGTTGAAATATATTTACATACGTTTACAAAAACCCGGTCGGTTTTTGAATACTTTAGTTACACATCGTTTTTTGTTCTCAAAGATTAAATTTACACGACTGTGTGAATACGTAACGAATTTAAAGTATTTTAGACATTAAATCACAACGTGATTGCACAAAGTGATTGCTACGAGTACAATAGGTTGATTGACGTACATACGTATGTATTCAGCCCTTTCACGGCACGGGTCTCCCTTCAATACGAGGGGAACAGGCCATAGTCCACTACGCTGGACAAAGCGGGTTGTGGACTTTACATATATTTCAAAAACTTGCCAAGTTTCAGACATGCTGGTTTCATCACGATGTATTGTCACGATGTTTTCATTCACCATAAGACAAATGGTAATCATGTTGAAAATGAGAGGTTGAATTAAACTTGTAATTCAGAATTGTTATAAACACATTTTGTTTGCAAATCACGAACTTTTTAAAATATATTCCGCAACGTTATTATTAAAGTCAATCAAAAATCGTAAATTGTTTTTAAAACGAATTACAATTCATAACACGTAGTCGCAGTAGTGATCTAACTCAGTAAGAAACTAGTTACAAATACGTTACCGCCGTGCAACCTGCGCAATGAATTTTAAAGAGCACATCGACCACGTTATGTAAGATTGCGTAATTTCAGACAGAAAGTTCCTTCTATATATTAAAATATATTAGCTTCGAGGTAAAAAAGATAAAGGTCAAAGAAGAAGCAATCTCCACGATAAAGTACAACCATATGATAATATTGTAATTTATGTAAACTCCATCGGACTTTTAGTTACCTTTTCACGTATTAACAGCAAAAAATATTTTGATGACATTAGGTAATGACATAGATTGCATCATGCGAACGGACATGGGTCATGGACACATATACCAACATGAACGAAAACAAGTTCGCATATTTTTAATACAAACTAAAAATAATAATGACGAGTAAATTATTATGTAAGTTTCTACGTAAATTTTTGAATTATCAAAGTATGTTCAAGTTTTAAGTTAGCGCGCGTTAATTAAAAATTCCCAACTAAACTCTTACATCTATTTGATTCTCGAACAAAACATAATTCATTTCGCCACGCATTTCATGAGTCTCCTCTGTTCTAGTGTATTTTACTTCTAACCAAAGTTCTCAAATCATATTTATTAATTTATTGAATTAGCAACAAAAGTTACAATGGTTAACACATATAATCTAGGCACTACACTTAACATGTTAAGGGCACTTTTAATTATAGGTGAATGCAGCATGATTATATTATTAATTAAGGTTTTAATTGATCATGTGGATTAAACTATAAACTTATATTATTAAAAAGAAAAAAAACAATTATAATAATAAGTTTCTATATAAAATATTAAATGTATGATATGTGAAACAAGCAACGCCACGGGTATATGTTAGTCAAGAGAGTAATGCCAGCCACTGGCTAGCCAAAGCATTGTTAGCACAGCTGAAAGTACAAGAACCAAGACTTGTAAATTCAGTGAAACAATAGTAACCGCGTAGCGTAGCGTCCGTAGCGCTCGTAGCGCTCTACGAACTTCGTAGAAGTCTATCACAACCAAACTTGGATTGAAGGCTTAAGATTACGTATTAAATTGGAAACTGTGGAAACTATAACATTTATGATATCTTATAGTTCGATATACTTGTTGGTATAAATTTTAGGATAATCCTTATGAGAGTAGTTTGCAACATCGCGCCGTCGTTTAGCCGGATCGAGTTTACCAGAGAGACGAGTAAAATATATGGGATATCATGTATTATAAAAAGTGTCTCATATTAACAGCTACTAACTGTTCTATGCCATTCCTATCCTTTTAAAATATCTCTGTAAAAAGCACATACATTTGTCTGACAGTTTTTGTACTTAATAGTCGATAAGCGGTGCAAAGTTTATTAAATCAAAAAAAAAAACAAAAAAAATGCAGTATCTTTTTTATCAGTTTATCTCCCAGTATCTCAGAAAAGATTTCGTAGAATTACCGACAATTTTTGTATATTACTTTCGACGTATTTTACGTGAAAGTGCTTACAAGACCTTTTAGACATCTATACCTCAAGACCTAAATATAATTATACAAATTTGGTTATATTTTTTAATGTTGGGCATGTTCGAAACAGGTCTGAAATGTATAACAATGAAATAACTTCCACTCTGTTTACCGAGAAACAGGCACGGGCGAAATGCTTTCAGTTGTCTTAGCCAGTTACAACTTTAGCGCTGTTTACGTAATACTTGCAAATGTTTATGATAACCTTCAACATTTGAAAAAACAGTTTAAAAAATAACATTCATGTTCTCTTTACTGGATATTACATAGTTTTTTATAACATATATATATATATTGTTAGCGGAGAATGCTCAAGAATAGGGGCGTGGCTTGAGTGACGTAATTTGTGGCGTGATGGTGGCGTGGTGGCTCGCTTGACAACGCACGAGTCGCCGACACTGGAGCGGCTAACTTTACTTTTGTCGTGGCTGCCGGAACGGACGGACGTTCACATCATCGCTTCTCTTATTTATTTTAATATTGTTAATTATTCGTTAAAAAAATAATAAAAAGTAATATCTTTAATTCCATCGTGTATAATTTTTTTTATAATAAAGTTAGTGCATAGATAAAATCAGAAGTGGGATACGCATTAAGTTTCTATAGCTTGGTGTGTGTCCCTAAGCCTGCTGTGGCATTCTGATGTAACTGTTTTTGTAAATCTTTTTAGTTTTGAGTGAAAGTTTGTCAGCTTTTTATAATGCCGAAATCAAGTACAAGTCAACGAAAAAATAAAAGTAGGACATGTGAACGTTCTCCGAGCCCTGGGCTGCTCCAACAACTCCAGGCGATTGTTTCTCGTCTGAATGTGTTGGAAGACAATTCCAGGTTAGGTTCAACTAGTGTGGCTACCATTGGCGGGCAGCCCGTAGTGGAGTCGCCGGGTCCGGCGGTAGGCACCATAGTGTCGCGTGCACCATCTACATCGCGAACGACGTGTGTGACGCCTCCACTGCCGTCTGTGCACGCTTCGCAGGTCTCCGCCAATGATAGCGCTGCTATTGAGGTAGCCGACAAGATTGTAAGTGCAATCAATGAACTAATTCCGGTAAGGTCTAATCACAATGTTTATATATCGAATTTTGATCCTAATATAAATGATATTAATACTTGGTGTGACGAGGTCGACCATTTACGAATCATTCATCAATGGGACGATAGGGAGTGTTTGGCGCGTATTGGTAACTGCTTAAAGGGGGACGCTCGTGTGTGGTTAAATGACTGGATTACTAGCGATCGTAGCTGGACTAATTTTAAACGTGAGTTCAAACCTTTGTGTCCGCGGAAGGTAGACGTAGCGAATATACTTTTTGACACTATGAAAACTGATTCTAATAACTACCCTACATATGCGGAGTATGCTAGGCGATCTTTGTTACGTCTTCGTATAGTAAACGGACTTAGTGACGAGTTAATATCGGCGATCGTAATCCGTGGTATAGTTGATCCACAGATCCGTGCGGCTGCTACCAATGCAAAATTAATGCCTAATGATCTGGTCGAGTTCTTGTCTATATATGTAAAACCCTCTCAGACGAAAGTAAATCATAATACCCGCAACATTTCTAGTCGTTTTCATAATACACCGACTTTATCGCGTAAAAGGGAACATAGTTCTAGTAGGACGGGTTGTTTTTCGTGTGGATCCTTTGGTCATAAGCAGATAAATTGTTCGAAGCGTACAAGATTACATAATTCACCTACTAGAAATGATAAACCTACAACATCAAAAACAAGTAGCAGTTCCTCTCAGTCAAAGTCTGTTATTTGCTCGTTTTGTAAAAAAATAGGTCACAAAACAGAGGACTGCTTTGCCAAGCAACGTGTCGAGGCTAATGGAAAATCTAATGTTAATTTTTGCCGTGACACTGTAGATAACTATAGAAAGAATGATATAACTACGGCGGTCATACAGGGTATACCGGTCGATATCCTCATAGACAGTGGGTCCACGATCTCGCTTATGTCAGACTCTGTATCGAAGTATTTTAAATGCAAGCAAGTACCCTCTTTTTGTGTTTTACGCGGTATTAGTGATCGTGATATTGAATCCCGTTATTTTAGTACTTTAACAGTAGAGTTTCCGGAAATCACATTAGAAATTGATTTTCAAATAGTACATGACAAATTTTTGAATACCCCGATAATAATTGGAACCGATGTTTTGAACCGAGAAGGGGTTACCTATATAAGGAAGAAGGGTATTCAACGATTAACTCGTATGGAAAGGGTATTTATTGCTGAGACGACTGAGTCAAATTTGATCTCCGTTATTAATACTCCTTTGATAGGTGAAAACAAGGACAAGTTGTTGAATTTAGTTGAACAATATTCAAAATATTTCATTACTGGTACCGCGATCAGTACTGTTACTACCGGATCTATGCAAATTCGTCTCAGCAATGAAACTCCTATTGTATATAGGCCTTATAAACTATCGCATAGTGAAAAACTCCGCGTTCGGGATATAATTAAGGACCTTCTTGATAAAGGGGTCATAAGGGAGTCAGAATCAGAATTCTCGAGTCCAATATTACTAGTCAAGAAGAAAGACGGTAGCGACAGAATGTGCGTGGACTTCCGGGCACTTAATTCAAATACTGTGAAGGATCGCTACCCATTGCCATTGATAGATGATCACGTGGATCGATTAGGTAATGCCAAATATTTCACAAGTCTTGATATGGCTACTGGCTTTCACCAGATACCGATGGCTAGCGACTCCATTCACAAAACTGGTTTTGTAACACCTGAGGGGCATTTTGAATATCTCAAGATGCCCTATGGGTTGGCGAATGCCCCGGTTGTTTACCAACGCATTATCACAAATACCCTAAAGACATTCATTGAAACAGGAAGGGCCTTAGTGTATATTGACGATGTGCTTTTGCCTAGCCAGACTATTGATGAAGGACTCCTCATTTTGCGTGAAGTTTTAGAAGTTTTAACTAAAGCCGGATTTTCAATAAATTTAAAGAAATGTAAATTCCTTACTAACGAAATAGAATATCTGGGGAGAACAATCAGCAATGGTCAGGTTAGGCCAAGCGCTCATAAAGTAGAAGCCTTGAAAAGGGCACCGAGGCCCAGTAATGTAAAACAAGCACGTCAATTTCTAGGCTTGGCGGGTTATTTTAGACGTTATATTCCTGAGTATTCATTAAAGACAATGTGCATATCCAATTTATTTCGAAAGGGTGTTGAGTTTCGATGGGGTGACGAACAAGAGCAAGTTCGCCAGTACATTATTACACGTTTGACTGGCGAACCAGTTCTTGACATTTTTAACCCCTTATTACCTACGGAAGTGCACACTGACGCTTCGTCACTAGGCTATGGGGCTGTCTTAATCCAGACTCATGAGAGTGGTAGTAAGCGGGTGATTGGGTACTTTAGTAAAGTTACTCAGGGTGCTGAATCGCGTTACCACTCTTATGAGCTTGAAACGCTGGCAGTGGTCAAGGCGTTGCAATATTTCAGACATTACCTCATAGGTATACATTTCAAAGTAGTTACGGACTGCAACGCCTTGAAGCTCACACAGCGAAAGAAAGATTTATTACCGAGGGTTGCTCGGTGGTGGATCTATTTGCAAGACTATGATTTTGTATTAGAGTATCGCAAAGGCGCTGCGTTACCTCATGCCGATTATTTAAGTCGTAATCCGATAAATATTTGTGAGATTAGAAGACCTTGTAATTGGGCACAGGTAGCGCAAAATGCGGACGAGGAAACCAAAAACTTAATACAAAAATTGGAGGACGGTGTACTAGATGGGACACGTTATGTATTAAAAAATAATATTCTGTATTATAAGTTTGATTCTGCTGGTCAGCCTACTAAACTTCTCTGTTTTATCCCTAAAGGTCACCGCCTTAGTCTATTGCGTGTGTTTCACGATGAGCATCATCATATTGGTGCAGATAAAACAATTGATTTAATTCTAAATCATTTTTGGTTCCCTAATTTAAGACAATTTGTCCGCAAATATATACGTCATTGCATAGTATGTCTTTCACATAAAAAGGTACCACGTCAACCTTTGCAGCCGATCCAGTCGTGGAGAAAACCTGACGTACCTTTTGATACGGTACATAGTGATGTGTTAGGTCCTCTCCCCGAGTCGAACGGCTACAAATTCGTTGTATTAATAGTTGATGCATATAGTAAGTTCTGTTTGTTGTATCCAATATATAAACAAGACGCTAATGAACTGAAGCGTGTCTTTGAGAATGCTATATCCTTATTTAGCACACCTAGGCAGATTGTAGTCGATAGAGGTAGAATGTACGAGAGTAGATTATTTAAACAATGGGTGTCAGACGTGGGCAGTAGTTTATTCTTTATAACACCTGAGATGCATCAGAGTAATGGTCAGGCTGAGCGATATTGCAGGACAATTCTGAATATGATTCGTGTGGAGGTTAATTTTAGAAATGAAAGTTGGTCAGAAGTCTTATGGAAACTGCAGCTCACTCTGAACATTACGAAACAAAAGTCCACTCAATATTCACCCTTATTTTTGTTAATTGGCAGCGATGGTGTGACGCCCGTTATCCGTTCAGTTGTGCGTGATGTGGCCCTTGAGGGAACAAGTGGCAATCGCGAGGCCTTACGTGAGCTGGCCAGACAAAGAGCATCTCAATTGCTGGATCAAAACAGAAAACAGCAAGACACTCGAGTAAATGAACGGCGCAAGCCCCCACATGTTTTTCATGAAAATGACATGGTCTTCGTACATAAGAACAGTCAATCTGTGGGCAAACTTGACTCTGGCATGCGCGGTCCGTACAAAGTTGTGCGCGCATTGCCTCATGGTCGATACGAGCTGAAGCTTATTTCTGGCTCACTCGGGAAGACCACAGAAGCTGCTGCTGAGCATATAAGTGCTTGGCACGGAGAATGGACACCAGATGTGTGCGCCGTATTCTTCGAGTGTGAGTATATTTGTAACTGTAATAGGGACTATTTGCATTGTATCACTTAAGCGATATAATAAAAATAGTACTTTATTACATGTTGGTCATCCTGTGGGCTCTGACACATAACATGTTATGTATAATTGTTTTATTTTGAGATATACCGCGGTCACTGTCTCGGTCATCCTGAGGGCTCTGACACATGTTAAAATTCATGTATTTAAGAACATGCTGCGGCCTCTGTTGTTGAATTACAATTTTTCAGTATTTTATTGCTGGTATGGTTTATTTTGTTGGCATAATTCCATCGTAAACATTATATTTCCAGGTGATGAGAATGAGAGCTGCTCTGACGATAGCATCATCGCTGGCCCGTCGCACCTACGTGACGTCACCATAGCTGAAAGAGCGGGCGAGGGCGCTCCGCCGTCAGGAGAGGCCGTGTTAGCGGAGAATGCTCAAGAATAGGGGCGTGGCTTGAGTGACGTAATTTGTGGCGTGATGGTGGCGTGGTGGCTCGCTTGACAACGCACGAGTCGCCGACACTGGAGCGGCTAACTTTACTTTTGTCGTGGCTGCCGGAACGGACGGACGTTCACATCATCGCTTCTCTTATTTATTTTAATATTGTTAATTATTCGTTAAAAAAATAATAAAAAGTAATATCTTTAATTCCATCGTGTATAATTTTTTTTATAATAAAGTTAGTGCATAGATAAATATATATATATATATTAGATATTTATTTTACACTAGCGATTCACCCTCGCTTCCCTTCGGGTTCGTCCCTAGACAAGAACAAATCTATCCTACGCACATTTTTCCGGGATAAAAAGTGATCTATATGCTATTCCAGACTATAATCCATGCCTGTGTCAAATTTCATCCAGATCCGTCCAGACGTTCTGACATGAAAGAGTAACAAGCATGCATCCATCTATCTACCCTCAAAAACTTTTACATTTATAATATTATACTAATATGGATGAATAGAAAATAACATCTTGGCACTTTCTACTATGCTGAAAAAGTCTTATTTGAAGTTAAAAAAAAAACAGATACTTATTATCTCATTTCATGAAAATGTAGCAAGTATACTTATTCCCGTCGAACATTTAAGAAAAACCATCAGAAAACCAATCTAATTTAACCACCCTTGTTAACATTAAAGCAAACACCGGTAATTTATTACCAGAGCTGTTTAACTTTCAATTACTACATACTAGGCGCGATTTTGTAGCGATAACGAATTTGAAATTATAAATTTAGTGTTATATTATGATTTTGAGATTGTTTTCGATAGCTTTTGCTTGGTTTTCGCGAATTCTGTAATTAAATGTTATATTTACACATTAGACATTAACAAGCTTTTATGTTTATTTAGGTTTTTGAAATCTTATTACATTTATTTATATAGCTTATATAAATATTATGACAACCATCGAGGAGACTTATGGCCTACTACCTATATATATATCTGCTTAACAGTCGAAGGTTGAAAGTTCCATTATAGTAACGTGCAAATATTTTCAAGAATGGACACAACTATTATTTGGAGGTAAATTTTGCTGAAGTATTTTTTTTTGAAAATTCTTTAGGAAGCTACATTATTCCTGAGTGGCTAATTCTTAAAACGCTATTTTCACTTTGAACTTATATTAGAAACATTTATTGTGTTTCGGAAAAATCTCATATTAATTCCGGTTTAAAATTAACACGTAGTAACAACAAAACAATACAAACAATAACAATAATTGCAAACCAACAAATGAAACAGAAATGCTTGACTTATTTTTAGTTTGACCATAATTATTTACGTAAACCATCTGTATTATATTTCTTTATAAGTTGTATTTTATAAAAAGGCGGTGTTTCACCCCCGTGCCTCGGAGAGCACGTAAAGCTGTCGGTCCTGCGCCTTAACTCTCACTGGTCGTGTCGAGCAGTCGTCGGAGTATGAGAGTGACAGGAATAGAGAGTGCCCTTGTGTCTGCGCGTACACTTGAGCACTATAATATCTCCTGCGCAGTTGGCTAGTCTCAATGAGATTGGCCGCCGTAGCCGGAATTGGCTAGGAGAACATCATCATTTTATAAAAAAACTTCTTTGATAAGCAGATGAGGAATGATGTTTTTACTTTGAATTCTAGACTATTATAATAATAAGTAACATATGAGACATATTGGTTTTGTAAATACGGAAGAAACCTCACTATATTAAAATTAATCATTAAATAGAACGTCATATTACCGTCACCTTGAACAACAAAATAAATTCAACGAGATTTATATCGACCATTACAGTAAATAAGAAAATTTATTCCATTTGAGAAATAATGTGATTACGTCTAGTGCCCCTTCTGAGCTTACATTCGAATATGAAACGTGACTTCATACCGCTCGAAAGCTTTATTATATTACGAAATAAAAATTAAAACTTATATACTGGTAAAACGTAATAATATATCATCTATACATATAATAAAATTCTGAGTCGAATCTATTACATTACATTAAATATTTTTTGGAAAATGTTATTGAAATACTCATTATTATGGATACTGAGGCCAAATCTATAGTTTTTAGAATTTTAGTCTGTCTGTCTATGACCGCATCACGAGTAAATCACTGGACAGATTTTGATGAAATTTGGTATGATGATAGCTGGTTATCCAGGTCAACATATAGAATGCTTTTTACTGCGGGAAAATATCTCATCTCTGAGAAATCTATACTAACCGCTAAAACGTACCAAGAGACCAACCCGACGGAGCAAGGGTCACTATATTTATTATATTTATTATAAAGGCTTACTAACTAAATTTACATAAAAACATTTATTTAACATTATAATTTTACCTATTTGTATATAAATTTAATTTAAAAGTATGCACAGCTTTTTATAGAATTTCATTAAAATTTTATGTGGTTAAGAGTATATAAGGAGCCATTTCACTATATACTATATAATAAATCAAGATCAAGACATTTCAATAAAAAAGCAACTTTCCTGCATTAAATATAACGTAACATTTAATAAGATTATTTGACTATATTAAATTATTAAATAATTTGCGATAATAATTACCAAGAGTCGAGCTAGCTTAGCAACTTGTTAGAAGGTCGTGTTCTACGATTTATTTCATTAGGCTGACTAGGGCACTTACAGCGTTTTTATTAGTCTTTGCGAAAATTCGTACTTTTTAAATATAATTTAATAAACATTTTCAATTAAGGTTAATATTAAATTTAATATAATATTAACATATTAATTTCATACAAAAAATCTACTTCACCGCTTAGCACTTTTCACAGAAAATATAAACAAACTATTTTGAACGTTTTCGACGTAGATTTCCAAAGGCAAACCCGATAAAATATGCAAGCTAACGGTTTACTCGTGTATAACATAAAAGCTTCTTTTATTTACAATGCTGAACTTCGACGGGCTTCTCTTGGTATAGAGTGAAAGAATATCAAACGGTGCCACGCGCCAAGCATTTGACGGCCGTAAAAATGCTAAATTCAATATTTCATTCCTATTAAAACAATAAAAAACAACAAATCCGCTAAAATGTCGGAAAAAATAATTTTATTGAAAAAATAACTATAACAATATCTTAGTGAAAATGAAAATATATTGTAATATTAAATATCTATTTGATAACAAAACTAGGCATTCGTACTTTAAATTAACTATATAAAATATAACAAAAGTGAATTATTTATAGATAAATACAAGATAATACCTAAAAAGGCAAAAAGCTCCTGATCAGAATCAACTCACAACAAACAAATCGATTTTTATTCAAAACTCTCGCCTCTAACGAGCCGCACCAATCTGCAGATCAACTGAATATGCGAAAACAAATCGATGACCTAAAAATTCTAGATTCAGATTTCATTTCTGCAAAAAGGTGGAATATAAACGAACTGGTTCGCATTTCGGCGGCACATGGCATTTTATTTTAGGCGTTTAAAATTTCAAAGGGTTCTATTTTATTTAGCTATGGTATATAAATATTAGTGACAAAATGTTTGTTATTTTGATTTCAAAGTGTTTATTTATACTGTAACTAGCAGAATTCGCGGCTTCGCTCGCGCTAAAACACCCAAAAAATACTCTAAAAAAGTAGGTTTCATATAAATTATTATCCCATATTTTACCGCCTAATGGGATGATTTAAAAAAAATACTAATACACGTATTTACTTAATTGTATTGAAGAGCATTAATACCAAGTTTCAAGTAATTCTGATTATTATACATTTTTTGGGTTGTAATATAACGAGTTTTCCCGTGGAAATGAGATAATCTCCAGCGGTAAAAAGTAGCCTATGTCAATCTCCAGCCCTCCAAATATCTCCACACATAACATCAGGCTAATCCGTCACTCCGTTTCGACGTGAAAGAAGGATAAATAAACAAACAAACAAACAAACAAACAAACAAACAAACAAACAAACACCCTTTCACATTTATAATATTACTATGTATATATCTATTACTACAAAATTCTTTAGGAACTCTAATTATTTAAATAATTTTGTACTTCAAACACAATAAATACTTAGTAAATATAACAATCTAATGAGACAGTGTGGTTTGTGCAGAGCAATACAACGTATGTACAATGTACATATAGTAGGTATACCATATGGTTCGCCTCTGGAAAAACAAAAAAAATCTATCCCACGGGAACCGTTTATTTTTCCGGGTAATGTGTTATTCTGATGTATGAGCTATATTATTGTAAAGTTTCATTAAAATCCATTCAGTAGTTTTTGGTTGAAAGAGCAACAAACATCCAGACACCTATACATCCAGACATCCTTACATCCTCACAAACTTTCGCATTTATTATATTAGTAGAATTTATGAGCAATACTTACTTTTGACGACTTTTATAAAAATTATCCACAGAAAATTTAACATTTAAAATCTGTATACTCTCATACATATACAAACGTTACACATTCATATTACACCTTAGAGACTAATCACAGTTGAAACACCAGGTTTAAAGTTCGAGTTTTAGTACCAATTTTCCCACGTGGATTACATACACATAAAAGCGTTCTAAAGTTTTCAAATGATAGAGTAGATAATTTATAGAGTGCTATTTGATATGTGAATCTATATTAACATACAACGTATAAATATATTTACATACATTTTTATAAAAAATGTATGTTTTTTTTTTGAAATAATTAATATATTGAGTTCTATTAACTATTTATGCTTTGTATTATACTTTCTCTAACTATGGCTAAGGACTTCAGAGGTACTGCATAAGCTTATATAATATACTAGCACTGCCCGCGGCTCCGCCCGCGTTCAGATGACTAAAAACCAAATTCTTAGGTCTTACATATTATTATACCATTACATTTTAGTTTTTGTATTTTTTCTCAGAAATGAGATATTTTCCCGCGGTAAAAAGTATCCTATATGTTGACCCGGACA